TAAGGTCTGTACTACCAGAGTTCCCATAACTCTTAAGTAAGAATGAAATAAATATCCATTTCTCATAGAGAAGCCACTATTTTTACCCTTCCCATTATAAAATAGTGCTGAGAAAGTACTTGTTGTTTTCTGGTAGAGGTGCTCCCAGAGAACACCTTTTCTGCCTCAGGTAAGCCTGATGTTTTCCAGTTCTCATTGCAGCACCTTTAGCTCCCTCTTTCTCATGAACGACCTCATCAGTGTTGCAGTGTGATGCAATGTCTTGGAATGTGCTGTATCAGTTGTTATTGAGTTGATTCTAAGTCATGGCAGCCATGTGCGTGACCTTGGAACTGTGATTCATAGAGGGGTCAGCGGCTTACTTTTCTAAAATCCTTTCTTCCAAAGCACCTTTGGGTGTACTCATACATCCAGCCTTCCAGTTATTCAAGCACAATAACCATATGTACCTCATGTGGATATCACCTGTGCTGAATTAGAGGCATAATTCATTGTTTGAGCTCATTGCAGTGTGCCACTTGACCATGTGGTTTGAATTAATACTCTATATAGGAAGACTAAAGACATTGGTGTTTAAGGGCCAGTAAACAAACAAACAAAACTTTGGGGTTCTCTTTGAATGCACTCCTCTTTCCATATAATGGTTTTGAGCATAATGTATATGATAGAACAGTTATAATAAAAAATGCTTTTGGGCTGGCATCAGGACCTACAATTTTAGGGATACAAAGCAACTATTGTTTAGAAGTTCTGTTTATTGTTAAATGCCCAGGCTATATTTTAACATATACCAAGGAATTACTTGGAGTTTTAACCCAGCTTCAGTTTGAAATTTATCTACCATTCAGTGCATTCTTTAACATGTGCTTAAAACATACTAGTATCTTTCAGGTTTGTATTGATAATGGTGGTGTTTGTATAGGACTTGTCTAGGCTGGTATATCCAACTCCAGGTAATTATTATGCAAAAGAATTTGATGGAACCTACTAGTCTATAAGAGATACTACTAACCAAAAGGCTTCGAGTCTCCAGAAGTTCAAATCCACCAGATACTCCATAAGAGAAAGATGGGCAATCTCCTCCCATAAGATTTATAGCCTCAGAAACCTGATAAAGAGTTATTTTGAATTAGAATCAACTCAGCAGCAGTGAGTTTGCTCTAGAAAAAGCGTTCCATCTCTCTCAAGAATTTTCCTTTTATTTATAAATGTACACATTGCTGCTGAAATAAGTTTTACTCATGGTGGCCCTGTGGATTTTGGAGTAGAATTTTCCCATAGGCTTTTCTTGGCATTAATCTTTACAGAACTAGACCACCAAGCCTTTATCCAATGATCTACAGATTGAGTTTGAACCACCAACCTATAGTTTAGTTGGTAATGTTTGTACCACTTGAGGACCTTCTTTATGAAGATATGTGTCTTAAAAGTATCTGGATGACCAGCTGAAGAACTTCAGCCTCTCTTATTACATCCTGATACAATGGTGCATCTACTATATAGAAGTATAACTCCTTTTATTCAATTGTGTGAGAACAGCCAAGAAAACCCTGTTGGTTCTTTGGGATCACTTGGGCTCACCATGAGTTTTGGGGTAGGAAAGTGAATCTCTAGAAAATTAAATCAAGAAAATAAAAAAAGAAAAGCTAATTGGGAATGGGAAATGTATGTAAAAGTAAAACATATTCTTAATACTGAACTATATACTTGGTATAGCTATGAATTGGATGAGAACTCTGGTAATGTAGTCCCTAGGGAATTACACTGCTATTCCAAAGGCCGCACCTTTCTGACAGTTTTAATCTACCAGCAGGTCTGTGGGAGAAAGATGAGCACTTCCTTTTATGTGATTTACGGCCTTGAAAACTCAGTGAACGGTCACCTCTGAGTTGCTTCTGACTGGACAGCAATGAGTTTTTAAGTGTTTTGATAAATTGAATACTTGATCTATTTGAAAACATTAATGAATCATTTTCTTTAAAAGTATTTGTACATACTGGACTCATGTTACCAGCAAGCAGTGTGTAGAATGTTATATACTGTATGTATACATAAGTTTAAATGTATATGGAAATAGACACAAATATTCAGTGTCATTATCTCTTAGTATAGGATTAGAATTTTTTTTTGTATTCCTTATGTATTTTATAAATACTTTAGTATAAACATGAATTTCTATTCTAATAAAAATTAAATTACTATATTGTTATAAATCAGACAATTTTTAAATCCAAAGCTATACATCATAATCCCTCAAATGTCTCAGTGCCTGTAAAGAAAGCAAGGGCCACGTGGGGACAGCTATATATGACCTTAACCAGCTTGACAAAGAGGAACTGGTTCTGTACAAATCTAATTCCCATGAGGTCAGACATGTCTCCCACACTCCCATACCTCTTTTTACTCATCTCAACACCATCTTACTGCTTTCAAAATCTGTTGCGATAGCTCACAGACCACAGAGAAACATATTGGGGAGGCCAAAGGATTATAATCCAGATTCGTAACAGAATATACTCAAGAATCTCCCAAAATGAGCATACAGGCACCTCAGCCTTGAGACTTGTGGCTTGGTATTCCCAGGTTCTCAGTCCTGCCCGTATTGTCTCTCCTTCCCCAAGGTGCCATCTTATGGCAAGTCACCAGTTCAGCTGTGGATATAGTGGGAACAAGAAGTGTGTCCTACATTCTCTTGTTATTTCTTCACTGGCATCATATTATCTGTCTGTCTTTCACTTTAGCTTGCTCAACACACTATGCCAACATGTCTCATCTGTCTCTCCTTACTGTTGAGTTAGTTCCAGTTAATAGCAGATTACACAGTAGGAGATTGCCCATCTTTCTCCCATGAAACCACTGGTGAGTTCAAGACATTTAGCCTTCAGGTTAGCAGCCAAGTTGGAACTGACTCATAGCAAACCCTGACGGAGATTGCTCATCCTTCTGTCTTGGAGCCATTGGTGGATTCACACCACCAGAGCAGTGCTGCTTTTGCCTTAGTAGCACAACTCTCTACACATTAGGCCACCAGATCTCCCTTCATGGCTCATGTTATTATCAGAACTGACCCACCAGTGGATTATCAGAAGCCGTAAATATGAAAGAAGATTGCCTATCCTTCTCTTGTTCGGTAGCTGGTGAGGCTTACATGGGTGAATCCTTGTAACTGCTTAGCACAGCCCCAGATATGATCTTCAGCCATAATTATTATTCACTCTTATTCACACATAAAGCTGTGAATGTTATCCTCTTCACCTTCCCTCTCCCATACACACAGACTTCAGAATGCTAATATTTCTTATGAGCTCAAGCACATTACTCTTCATATATTTTCCTAATTTTCCACACAAAGGTTAACTCCCTTCCATTGCAATGATAAAACTTAGGTAACCTCTCATGATTATTTTTTTTTTTTACCTCTCATGATTATTGTACACTTCTCTGTTTCCCTCAGATCTCAAAAGGGTAAATCAGGGATTATACATGTGTAGATTGCCTACAAGTAGCACAAGTCTGAAAACAAAGCAAAAAATGCTGTATGAACGAATGTAAAATATTATGGCTGTATGCTCAAGCTGCCAAGTGAACTAGCCTTCTAAACTTCCAGTGAGGTCTTCAATGGTCATTCTAGGTTATCTCATTATTAAAGGGTCACAGAGATAGATAATCCAAAATAGCATACAGTCCAAGAATGTTTGCATTTGATGGCTGACTGTAATACGTGATTTTAGCAAATAACTTTGGCAGTAAATTCAAGTTTGAACTTAACTAGTTTATGTAATTGTCATCCACCAAGTTGTTATTGTTGTTTAATACTGTTGAGACAGAGGCGACTCATAGCTAATCCTCCAGAGGGTTTTCAGAGGCAGTAATTTCACAGGAGGAGATGCAAATCACATTTCTGTGGACTGTGTGTACAGTGTACACATTCCGTCCCCGAACCCCTTGGTTGCATTGCTTGCTTCCATGTCAAACTCCACTCTTAGTTTCTAATCTCAGATTCCCAACACTATAATCACAAATATTATACTCTGTTCTTTCATTGTTTTCCTTTTATAAGATACTCTGCTTTTCTGGTGGCCTCCTAGTAAGGAGTTACACTGCCAATGCAAAGGCACACAGTTCAAATCCACCAGTTGCTCCCAGGAAAAAAAAGATGGGCAGTATCCTCCTGTGTGATTTACACCCTCTAAAAACCCACTGAGGGGTCACCTGTAGGGCAAATTTTACATGATGTTACATGACAACAAAAAATACAACATTGTTCCCTGAAAAGATGACATAGTTTTTTATAATTACTTATTAGAGTGTTTTGAACAGTGAACTTTTATAATCATGTTTTACCTTATTGATATTTTTTGTATTTTTTTACTTCGTATTTTGTAAATATTTCCCTTGTTTAAACTCTAGAGTTTTAGATTAGTGGTTTAAATATCTACAAAACATAAATAAGCAAGCATAAACATTCATTTATGATTCCCCATATGGCAAAAACCATTTTGGGATCAATGTAAAAAAATAACTGATGGAAATAATTGAAGATAAGTTGCTTCATATATGAGCAAGATTGAGTTTTGAAAGATATAAAATACTCCTACCTAAGGACAGCTGTTTCAACTCTTGTTCAATCACTTTGTAAATGTTCAGCCTTAAAAAATACGCTTAGATGCATGTTTTGAAAGACAACTGGGTCCAGCGAAGTTTCATTCATATCTGTTCTATTTTAAGCACGGGCTTGGCATTCATATCACTGTATATCTAGTTAAGAAATGCCCATCATCTTAAAAGCAACAGACTCCAGATTGAATTTTAAAATTCAGTCCAGTATTCTTAGGGGAGGATTAAGTTTGAGTTTGGTTTAAAACAGATGTGATATGGAGCTGTTAGCTGGCAGTTTTTACAGCAGGGAAGAAACGGGGGAGCTGGTGTGATGGGTTTCCGGCAGGGTTAAGAGTCTGTGTGAGAACCATGTTGTCCTGACTGTCTCTCTCCCCTTGCAGCATGCCATGCCTTTCTGGAGGATCTCCAGCCACTCGGACCTCATGGCACTCCACCACGCCTTGGAGCTGGAGTACCTGTAACAGCCGCATAGCACTTTGAAACCCCACGACCGCCCTCAACCAGGGACAGATCCAGCAGGCCTGAGTCTCGTGTCAGCGCTGGACGGCAGGACTTAGCGATTTCAACATAGTGACACACAGCTGCTGTCGGTCTTGCCCTTTTGCCCTTGTGGCAAATGGAGGACCATGCCTATTTCTTGAGAACAGCTGTTGACTCTAGTACTGTGAATCCAGTGAACACAAGCCATGAGAATGTTCTAACGCAGTCTAATGTGTCTTTGCCACATTAACTACACGGTTCAAACCTGTGAAGAAAGGACCTGCAAATGCTCACGTTTTTAGTATCTTCAGTGTGATACAAACAGCTTCTCTGATACAGCAAACTTGATTGCACAACAAAAACTGAAGTGTGCATCCCAAATACCAATGGAGTCATTTTTCTTGTAAAGAAGGTTTACTTTTTTTGGTGTCTCATCCCCAGGGTAATCTATACATCTCTACTTATTTATGAACAGACTTTTTTTAAAAAAAACAACAACAACAACAACAAAAACAACAACACAGCTTTATTGAGGTATATAGTTCACAGACCATGTGATTCTCCCAGGCAGATTTTGATTCAAATCATTGAAGAGACAACAGCGTAAGAAATAAGCGATGAAAATCCTTTGCCTCATGACACAGCAAGTACTTTTAATTTTAGCACATTGCAAAGTAGTTTAAACTATGTCTAATTTAAACGTATAATATGTACATCACTGAGACAATCATGTACAGAAAGAATTTTTGGTGTAAATTTGTAATGATGCCTCTTTTACATATGGTTTAGGGAGATGCTATTGAAAAGTAGAAATGCCTTGATAGTTAAGTGTGAGGCAATAGTGCACAGATTCATGTGCAGCGCCTTAATGAACCTGGGTATAAATATGTAGATAATGGATTTTTTTTTTTTAGATAATGTTGTCAAGACCAAAAGCATGGATGTTGAGTGTCAGTAAGGATTTTACTTGTCCAAAATTTCTTCTCCAGTCCCCACCCCTCTTTTTTTTTTTTTTTAAATTCCATCAATAGGGCCTTGGTAAAGCAAGAGAAATACTACTCATCAGTTTCTTAACTAATTTGGAGAAAATAGGTCTTCTTACCATGTCGGGTTGTTTTGTTGGGTTTTTTTTGTTTTTGTTCTTTCATTTTCCACACTAATGTATTATATGTAACTACTTGGAATAAAATGATTATTCAAATCCTTCTTCCCACAGAAAGAATGTAGATGATAGATATATTTTATTAATAAAAATGTTCATGAATTGGAAACTAGCAAAACATGATTTTCCATGGGTTCAGAATTGTTTTACTGTCTGCATTTTTTCCCCATTTAGATAAAGGAGAAAATTCTCGCATATCTGAAGAAATCAACACAAAAATGTGGTATAGTCATACTTCCTGTCTCTCTCTTTCTTTTTCTTTTCCTTCATGCCAGAAGTGGAGTGGGCACAGACATTATCACCGAGGGAATAATGTTCCTCTCCACCTATTTTATATATTACATGATAAGCATAAATCTGGGAAATACAAGTTTTCACCCTCTTCACAGGGAGCTCTGGTGTTGTAAAGGTTAAAACATTCAATTACTAAGCAGAGTGTCAGTAGTTCAAATCCACCAGCTACTCTGCAGGAGAAAAGGAAATAATCAACTTCTGTTGAGATTTCGAACTTTGAGAAAACCATAGGGTTTCCTCTTATCTCCCTCCCCTGGTTGTTGTAAGTTGAAATCAATTTAAAGACAATTGATTTGGTTTTCTTAACTTGTTTGGGCATGAGCTTTTCTCAGATAAAGACCTCTAACATAATGAAATCACTTTTAAATTTTTCTTTACTATAGCATCAGAAGAAAACACCAGCTTTGACCCAGCTCCCCCCAAGAAGCTAAAAAGATAATAACCCTTTTCTGAAGTTTCATGTTGCTGCTAGGACTAGTCATTTGTGAATTCTCCAAATTATTCCAATTAACAACTGGATGAGCTCTTTTTCTCCCCTTTCTTTCTGCTCGAAGCAACACAAGTTGATGGTTTTTTAACTTTTCCTTTTTATGATTTTGTACTCTGCAGACTGAAAATACAGCTTATCTTGGCCTTACTGTATAAAGGTGTGTTGTGTCTACAACTGTGTACAGAATTTTTCTTCAATAATTTTGTGTTTAAATTAATAAACTTGATTTGTGAAGTACTGTAAATTTCTGGAATTGTACTTTTTTCCTCTTGGTTATACGCAATAACAGAATCTCGGTTGCATTAAAAAGTCCAACAAAGGAAGTTGTATGAAGTAATTGCAGTGATGGCTTTATCAGTCCTTGAGGAGACTCCACTAGAAGGCTAACAGCTGTTTCTTTGATCACTTGTAAGAACAGATGAGTGGAAAAGCTCTTTAAATCCCCCACAACAATATAAGCTGGAACCTCACTCACATTTATCTATTATGGAACAGAATTCACCATAGAATATCTTGGCTGACAGAGCATAGATTTAGCCGCTTAAATACCCAAGGGACAATGATATAAGATAGTTTCATCTATAAAAACTCTCACAACATGTATGTCTACGATTTGGCTGTGTTAATCATTGACAGAGAACTGTAAAACAGCATGGTTTGTGTCCTCTTGGGAATGAATCTGCGGAAACACATGATGTATACACACATACACATAAAAATCAAACTTGCCGTTTTCTAACTCATTTACCATGCCCCTGGTGGTCATCTTTTACATACACGCACAGAGCCAAAGAGGTTGAGTAGTTAGCTATATATTGAAGCACATTCCTATCCTGAGACTAAAAAAGATGTGGAGACAATCTTTAGGGAGGGACGCTTAACTGTCAAGTGAAGAAAATAAGGCCATCAGGCAAAATAGGAAATATGTACCCTGAACAAATACATTTTTAATGCAACATTCCTAGCATGACACTCCTCTCCAGTTTGCTTAAAGGGCTCTCTCTTGAGCATGGATTAGCATTTATATTTCCCTGGTCTTCTTTTGTTGTGTGAAGAGATTGCTTATTCTTTTCTCACATAGTAGCTGGTGGATTCAAACAGCATGCTTTGGGGACTGCAGCACAGCTGCTTACTAGGTCGCGAGAGCCTCCAAATAGAGATTCTGCCTTTCTTTTTTCACCTTTCAGTTTCTTGTACTGTGATAGCTTGCATATCTGTGGTTCTGAAAAATGTGCCACTGGAATTTCAAATACAAGCAAGGTTACCAATTGTGGACAGGTTCCAGCAGAGCTTCCAAACCAAGACTAAGAAGAAAGGCCTGGTAATCTACCTTCAAAAATCAGCCAGTGAGGAAACTGGATCAAATCTGGTTTCTGTCTGGTATAATGTTGGGGGATAGAGCCCTTGGTTAGAGGACACTCGGAATACATTGTGACGACAATGGACAATGGACTTGACCACATTGACAGTCATGAAAATGGTTCAGGATGGAGCTGTTTCATCCTATTGTACATCGAGCTGCAGTGAGTCAGAACCAGAGCCAAATGCATAGCAACTAACAACTTCCCTTCCCAGTATTATCTTTCACTAGAGTTCGCAAACCTTTGGTATACATTAAATGGATTTTTTTAAGTAAACTGCATGTAGTAGTCTTATCAGCCCTACCTGATTTTGACTTAAAATTGTTTGCATGTCTGTTAATGACCTCAGCCTCCCTCAATCTTGCCATCATTTTCAGCTTCAAGGCTTCCTCCTTTGCCAAGCCTTTTCCAGTATGGTGCACAATGCCAGCTCCTTTCCATGAACTTTTCCATCTGTGTCTTCACTGACAGTCCTTATGTCCTTATAACTCCATTCAGGGACGACTCCCTGGGCACCCTACCAAACACAGCCACTGTCCTAGGTGCTGAGTGCACCCTGGTTCCTGATCCTGCAGAGGCTGCTTACAGGGGTTGTTGGAGACAGACAATAAGAAAATGAATGAATAAGGTTTAAAAAGTCCTTTGTGGAAAATAAAGCATGGTTTATCAGAAGTGACAGGGATAAGCCAATTTGGATTAGGTGGCTGGAGTCAAGATGTTTGAGCTGAGCACAGACTGCTAAGTAGTGAACACTATGTTCAAATACCAAATGGCAAAAATTGCAGAGAATCTTAATTGTGTTCTCTAAATGAAAAACCCACTGTAAAAGAGTAGAAGACCAGGAAGGAGTTGAAGTGAGTGAGTTAGATACTAGTCTTCATGGAACAAGAGGTCACTGGGAGTTTTATGCCGCATGTGACCTTCTCTAACTCAGTCTGAAATGATGTGAGGGTGGCCCATGGAGATGCTTGGCAAGAAGTGGGGCAATGAGTCGTGAGGTTATTGGGGCAGTGGGGGTGAGCAATGGCCAGCCTCCCCTAGGGTGGCAGAAAGAATAAATCTGCAGGTTAGCCTTCATAGCAGAAATGACAAGATTGCTAAGAGGCCTGATGGGGGACTGGTGAGAGCCAGGAGGAATTCAGGCTACTCCAGGTTGCAGGCTCCCAGCACCACTGGGAGAAGGTACAGTCTAGTGGCTTAGAGCCTGGTTTCTACAGCCAGACTGCCCAACTTCTAATCCGAGCTTCTAATCACCCCCTTTCATGCCGAGTTATTTTACTTCTATGTGCCTTAGTTTCCCTCATGTGTTAAAAAACACAACCTATAAACCAGTGCCATGACATCTAACCCAACTCTTGAAACATCTGTGTCACACAGCACAACTGCTCTGCAGCGTTCTGACTGTGCTTTACAGAAGCTGTTGGATAGACCTTTCTCCTTTAGTTCAGTGATAGACTCAAACTTCCAGGCTTCTGGTTAGCAGCCAATTGCACGCTTTCAAGCTGCATGCATCACAGAGGAGCTTATCTATAAAGGGGGTAGCAAGAATAACCACTCTGAGAGCTATTGTGAGGATAAAATAAGTTGCTGTGTATTAAGGGCCTTTAAACCCTTGGCAGACTCACTCATGTTAACTATTATTATTATATGTGAGGAGCTCTGGTGTCTTAGTGTTAAGGAGTGGTAATGCCAACCCACAGGTACATGGTTCGAATGTCCCAGCTGTTCCATGGAGAAAGACAAGCAATCAACTCGAGTGGGATGCATTTCTTCTGAAAATCCACTGCAAGGTCAGCTATGAGTCCGTTCCAACTCAGTGGGACACAGCAACAATATTTTACCAAGTTTTCATGAATATTATTTTGTCTCATTAATGAGAAAAAAAATGACAAGTTCCTTGAGCACGCAGGCTCATTAGAAAGACAATGCATTATTCTGGCCTACTCTAAAACAAGCTCAAAGAGTCTGATCCCTGACCTCAATCCCTGGGAGTTGGTGATATTTCACTACAATTATAGAAAACCTAAACAAGGGTGGACGCAGGAGTGGCATCCACTTCCGAAATAGCTTGCCTCAGGAAATTCTATGAACCTAGAGAGAGGACGAAAGTTACACAAGTGTTCAGGTCTCTCGTTTATAAGGTAGCTATGAGTCGCCTATGACACTTAACGACAAGAACACCATAGAAAGAGATCAGTTGGCTTAATCGCCAGAAGTTGATGCTACCAAGCCAAAGACTTTAATCTGCAGCCCTCAGGCCTGTTTTTAATTGTTTTTGGTCAAACATTCTTCTAGGCCGTGTAACCCTGGTTTGTCCACTTGCTGTACAGAGGTAACTCATGCTTGCTATGAAACTAAACTCTGTGACACTGATGTGTCAAATGCGATAATGGTTACCCATGGTGGACAGTGTTTCATGGCGCTCCCTGATTAAAACAAGCTTGGAAGCAGGAGTGGCATCCACTTCCAAAATAGCTTGCCTCCGGAAACCCTATGAAACTGGAGAAAGGACAAAAGTTATACAGTTGTTCAGGTCTTTCTTTCATAGGGTTGCTATGAGTCATCTATGACTCGAAGGCACTTAATGACTTAACAATGATGACGAAACGAATTCCTTTCTAATCAACCTCATCTTAAAGCAACCTCAAGCATGTCAGCCAAGAGCTGTGCTCCCTTC